CTGTCCCGCACACCTCAATGTAGCTGAACTGCATAGCATGCTGGAAGTTTGTCTTATACATTGCGCACACTGAAATGTAACTTAATTCCTGCCTTAAATGCTGTAACTTATCTACGATGTCTGGCAGACTGAAATTAAGATCTGATACTCACATAGCAGTTCAGCGAACGGCGTTGCACACTGCTGATAACATCACACAGAATTTCAGGATTTCCATGATGGACATCGACTAACGACGACTGTCACCGGGTTTAACTAATGAGAAGCGTGACGAAATGCATCGAAGTTCACTTATTCAATTTACACGACGTGAACACGCTCACACAAGGCACATGCGCATACACTTTAGGAATGCACTCATGTATGTATGTATGTATGCACGCACACGCACACGCACACGTGTTCGCACATGCACAAACACGTTACATGGACGCACGTATGCACACACGCACACTAGAAGGTCGGCACACGCATGATTACACGTCTGCCAATACCATCTTCACATACCACTTATCATAAGAAAAACATGTTCACTCCCTCCTCCTCCTCCTCCTCCTCCTCCTCCTTTCTCGTCAGAAGCGGAAGGGGTTGAGATGTTCTAGTTGTATTTCGAGTGCGATGCGTTCCTCCATGATGTCTGACAGCTCTTGCTGCATCTCAGAGTTGAGTCGCGAGAGCTGCCAGTTACGTTCGCGCTGGCTGCGTATCGCTGCGTGCACGTCGCGCACGTCGTACACCCTGCAAGCACGCAAGCAAGCTGCGTTAACGTGTGTGCGAGGGGAGGGGAGGGGTCGCGAGTGCAGCGTGTGTCGCGCTGGCTGCGTATCGCTGCGTGCACGTCGCGAACGTCGTACACCCTGCAATCACGCAAGCAAGCTGCGTTAACGTGTGTGCGAGGGGAGGGGAGGGGCCGCGAGTGCAGCGTGGGGGTCGGCACCGAACGCAAGGCGGTCAGTGTGAAGGGGCGGCGAGGGGGCGGGGGGCAATCTTAGGGGTTCAATGATAGGCAAACCTGGAGGGTGGGCAATAAAATCAATGTGAGGGAGTTCGCAAATGCGTCAATAGGGCTAGAACGTTTGAAAATTAAGACAAAGTTGTCAGTGGAATGGAGTGTAACCGGTGGAGGAAGAAGGAATGATTCAAATGGCATCAGTGGAAAACACTCACTTAGTAGTCAGGGACAGCGGTACGACGGGTGCCGACATGTGGCGCCTCCTCTCTGCGGAGAAGACGTCGTCCTCTAGCACACCCTCGGTGCTGTGGGGGCGCACCTTGGCGCGCGGCGGCGGCAGTGACGTCACCTCCTCGTCGTGACCCTCCTCCAGCGATAGCATCGGCTCTGTCTCACCTCCACTCTGCTGAAGCCCTGTAACACCAGTGCTCCTCATCTATATATATATATATATGATAGCATCGGCTCTGTCTCTCCTCCACTCTGCTGAAGCCCTGTAACACCAGTGCTCCTCATCTATATATATATATACAGTCATCCAAGTCACTTGCATTGTCATCCTCACCGACATCAAGCTGTACAATACAGTGGCTGTAGCCAGCAGGGGGCGCTGTACAATACAATGGCTGTAGCCAGCAGGGGGCGCTGTACAATACAATGGCTGTAGCCAGCAGGGGGCGCTC